ACATTTACGCTTTAATCTTTCATAATTCATATATTCATATTATAATTATATTTATATACTTATTAATTATTACACAATACTATTATATAAATATTTATAATTTCTATTTCTACATTCCTACTCTTACTCTTTCAATCTTTCTTATTAAATATATTATACTCCGTATTACAATTATATTTATATACTCCTACACTTTCATATTTAACATATATATACACTAAATATAAACAATATATAATTTAATATATATATATACGAAATATATTACATAATATATATATATATATATATATATATATATATATATATATATATATATATATGAAGTATATATATACTATATACATTAATAGTCGAAATTTATTTACAAGTTGTACAATTTATTTCATATTTCATATAATTAATTTATATTATTTAATATATATATTTTTAACTATATATATAGAAAGGATATTAAATATATATAATACTCCGTATAATATATATATATAGTCCAAATATATATATATATATATTAATGTATATACGAAATACACACACTATATAGTTAGTGACATTTTCATTGTCAGGGCCATCCCAGGCCATGTTAGCCAAGTGCAACCGCACAGGGCCCGGTTTTTTAAAGGGCTTAAAAGAAATTAGTATTAGTTTTACCCCAGCTCAGCCCATTAGCTTTAGCCATAAGCATTCCCGTCGCCTCCCAGAGTCCCAGCCCGCTTCATCCCCACTGCGCAGGCCACACACCTTGTGCTGCACGCCCGCACTGTCGCACACCGCCACAAGGCCCTGCAGAGCCCAGCAGCTCCGCCCCTCTGCAGTCCAGCCGGCAGCCACCAGTCCACCAGACCACCACGACCTGCGGCCTGCAAGCCGCCTCCCGACCCTCAGTCCCTCACGCTCCCGAGTCCCGCCTCCTTGACCGGCCAGTCATTGATTTTCAATTATTTTATTCATTTAGTTGCTAATCCTTGTGAATTTTTGAATTATTGAATTGATGAATTGTTTGTTGAATTTTTGAATTATTGAATTGATGAATTGTTTGTTAAATTCTTGTGAATATTTGAATTATTGAATTGATGAATTGTTTGTTGAATTTTTGAATTATTATTGAATTGATGAATTGTTGAATTGTTGTTATTTGTTGATTTTTTGCAGTTAATCAACAAATATGCTCGAAGAGATTGACATTGCAAGTTTGGTAGATAACTTTGCATCTAAATATGCTCGAAGAATGTCTCTTTTTAAATAAACTGTAACTTATTAATGACTATTTTCATTTTAATCATTACATTTATTTATTAGGTACTTATGTTTTAAGACAATTTGCTTGTGTTGAATTTTGAAAAAAAGGCCCAAATTTTATTATTGCACAGGGTCTCCGTTTTCTGGGGACCGACCCTGTTCATTGTTGTTACATTTTGATCATTTAACCATTTTTTTGTAGTAGTTGCATTTAGTAACATTCAATGGTAGTAGTCACATTTTAAATTGTAGTTGTTAATATTACAAAGTGTGTAGTTATTGTATTTTCTTAGTTGTTAGTAGTTGCATTATAATCAATACGTTTTTTTTGTACTTAAATTGTAGTTAGTATTGTTATATTTTTTTGTCAATTAGTTGTTATTAAATTTGTAATTCAATTTATTGACATTGCAATTTGTATTTTTTGTAACATTTTTAAGACAATGGACTGGACTAGGAAATTCGTTGATTTAGATAATCTCCAACGCAATCGATCAAAGGAGATTGTGAGAGGTCATCTTTCGGGTCGGTCGGGTCGAACGAAAGGTAAACGACAAATGGGGGCAACATCTTCTTCCCAATCACGCGATGATTGGACGGCCGAATATGATCGTACAGATGCGATGACCAATGAGCAACTTCGGGATCTCTTGAACCAAAACCAAGACCAATTTTTCCATCAACAAAACATCCCCGACATTGAAGAGGAGTTGGAGGACGATGACGCCGAGGAGGATGCTGGAGGAGGCGGCGGGAATGTGGGACACCAAGGCAACGAGGATACCCCCGACGAGGAGGAGCATGGAGGCGGCGTGGGTTCATCCGAAGCGGTCCAAAAACGTAAGTCTAAACTAAAATCTCCTCTTTTTGTAGATCATTTTGAGAAGGTCAGGGATCCGATGGACGGGAAGTATTACGCACATTGCCAACATTGTTCGCAAATATTGTGCATGGGTACTTCGGGGGGCTACAGCACGGTGCAAAGGCACTTAAACGCGAGGCACCCCACGGAGGCGGCGAAATTGATGAGCAAGGGGACGCAAACACAAATATCGAGGTTTGCAAATGATAACCCTTTGGTAATTTATCTTACAATGATGAGGTACATTTAAAAGCAATGTTTGAGTTAATGTGTGAAGAAAATTTGTCTTTTATTTTTTTCTGAAAGTCTTGCTTTACGTGCTTATACTCAAGGTTCTTTAAATCACAATTTTGAAACTATTGCCGCAAAACAATTAAAAACCAAGTTATTAAACAATATCTTTTGGAAAAGGAAAAAATAATTCAATTTTTTTTTTTGCTAACTTTAATGGGCGTGTGACTGTTTGTAGTGATATATGGGAAGATACTTATCAACACTTGTATTATTTGGGTATTACTGCATATTGGATTGATGATGATTGGCAAATGCATAAACGAGTTATCGCTTTTGAGATTTTAATGAAAGATACACTGGTGATAATATCTATATTCTCATGGAACGTATTTTAATTGAATATTGTTTGATTGATAAGGTGTTTGTTATTGGCTTTGATAATGCTACTAACAATACTGCTACTATACTTAGATTGCGTGAATTATGTGGTCCGTCTACTTTGATGGGTAAATTTTTTATCAACGTTGTGCATGTCATATTATTAATTTATGTGTGAAACACGGCTTAGCCGCATTAGGAAATGTGATGGATAAAGTTTAAGGAGGCTATTAGATTGATTTGGGGTAATAATCCACTACAAATGCAATGGTGTGCTTATTTGAAGTGCAAAGGTGTAAGGTATTGTGCTTTTCATAAAAATCTCTCTGTTCGTTGGAACAGTACTTATAAATTAATTGTTGTGCTTATTAGATTTAAAGATCATTTTCCTACTTTAATGAAAGAACCTTGTAATTATATTATAGAACCGATTGAGATCGACACAATGCAAAAGATTTGCAACGTTTTAGTTTATGTTAACAATGCTACTCAAAAGTTTATCTCACCGGTGCTTTTGAAGAATTTTCTCAATCTACTTATGTACATTATTTTTGTGATTACATGATAGAAAAGTTTTTAAAATATTTTGCCCGCATTCCGCCTATTTATTCTATTGCTTTCTCTCTTGATCCTCGTTTCAAACTTTCAAATTATCAAACATTTTTAGAATACTATTATATTGCTTTCTACGGTCCATTCCCTATGTACGAAATCACACCTATAGATCCTCAAACTCAATATGGTAATGCACTCCCTCCCCCAACACCGAGTGCTTCTTCATCTAAAGAAAAAAGTTTTTTTTAATCAACAATATCTACTCTTTTGAAAAAAAATAAAAAATCAACTCATGCCGTTCCACAAAGCTCGATTAACGAGCTCTCTTTATATTTAACGTTTCCTGTTGAGTTTAATGAAGCGGGCGACTTTGATATTCTCCGATGGTGGAAGAGCAACGAAGGGATGTTTCCGCTTTTATAAAAAATGACCAAACAAGTGTTGTCGATGCTGGTTTCAACTGTTATCGTGGAACAAGAGTTTAGCGAAGCCGGTAACGTTTTGACTGACTATAGAATGAGGTTGAGCGCTTCATTTCTTGAGACACTCGTTTGCTTCCATGATTGGTTGAAGACCCGCCGTAGAACACAAGAAGTCAACATAGCACCGGTCCGCCCTCTTCTTATCTTCTGCATCTTCCTCTACTTTTCTTTCATATACAATTTTATTCATTATTTGCACAAAATTCATCTCTATTTTTCTATTTCCATCTTTTTTATTATCCTTCGATTTTTATTATCAAATTACATATAAATTGATAATTTCACATTTTATTCACAAAAATTATAATTGATCACATTGCTTGTGAATAACACAATTATTATTTGTTTCATGAAATCCATCTAAATACAAATAACTAAAAACGATCACGTGGATAACTATTATCTGTGTCATAAATATGAAATAATTACATAAATATGACCAAAACAAAGATGATTTACAAAAATATGACTAATGACTAGAGTAGAAATGAAATCATAGTAATTCATGTTCAAGTTTTGAAATTAAGTTACCACAAAACCAGATTGTAGTAATGAATAGTCATATTTATGTAAATATGTTTTATTTTAGTAATATTCTTGTAAAAAACTCATAAAACAAATATATTTGAAAATCCACATTTTTGTCGCAACAGTTAACGTCTGCGCACAAATAATTATTGTACGTGCATACAAATACTTGCACACAAACACTGGTGTGCACCGTTGCTCGTGAGCTTTGATTTGTGCATAGACAGTTTACAGTTTCTAATTTATGTTAGTCAATGTACTAATTCATGTTTCCATAGATAGTTTCTTATGTCACTACACATATTGTGTGTGACATGCAAACGTACACAAAAAATGTGTTAACCTTTGTGATACTAACATTTCCTTTTTCTTAATATTTGTCTATTTTTAGTTTGTAATTAATAATACCACAAATCAAAAATAGACAAATATTAAGAAAAAGGAAAATACAGACTTAAACAAATCAGATATTAGACTTTGATAATTGTAAAATACACACAAATCAAACTTTTATCAAACCAAACCAAACCAAACCAAATTAGACTTATATATATCGAATTAGACTAGACCAAAAAAAATCTATCCAATTAAAACATTTGTAATCATAAATTTGACATAAATTTCCAATTATTTTTATAAAATGAGAATACCAATTATTTTTATAAATTTCTGCTCACAATGTTTCAGCCAAATATCCCGCATTACAACCTAACGGTCAACGTAAATGTTTCCATTTTGTGAAATTATTTTACTACGAGTATTATTTCCATTTTATTTAACAAAACTAGGTCAAATGTTATGTATCAAGATTGTATTAAAGAAATTGGTCCAATTGAAATATGGGCAAAGTGAACGAATAGAAAGGGATATCTAGCATGTGCCCCAGCAATCCTTCACATAACAAACGCTTAAATGTCTATAAGGACAGTCAAATACCTAAAGGCTACAAAGAGCCATATATAATAATAATAATTATATAAAGCTAGTTCAGTTCTGGTTACTCACAGAATCCCAACCATTTCGAGGCAGAATAAACATCAATCAAATACATCTTCACTTTCTCTTCTTGGCAGGTGGCTCTTCTTCCTCCTCTTCTTCATCATCATCCTCATCGTCATCTTCATCAGGCTCATCTTCATCACCATCATCATCATCATCATCATCTTCATCTTCATCTTCATCTTCGTCATTGTCTTGGTCACCACCTCCCGCATCAGGATCATCCTCACTCTCATCATCATCACCATGGGCCTGATCCGGTTCTTCATTATCCACATCATCATCATCATCAGCAACATCATCATCGTCATCATCTTCATCATCATCATCACTACCATCTTGATTTTCTACCTCAGTTTTGTTCATCTTGTGAAGCTCCTCGAAGGGAAACCTTCAGGCATTGTTGTTTCAATTACGTTCTTCTATAAGAATGCTATCAAAATTCCACGTCAAACATGAAAACAACAAAAACAATTCATACCTTTGTTCAACACCAGCAAGATCAGGGAATATGCCGTTGATCTTCAGAAAGCTTTCAATCTGACAAAAAAATGACGATAATGAAGGACAAAAATATCCAATTAAAAGGAACCTAAGAGAATAGAACATGATATTTCTGCCCAGTGGATGATACATGAATGTAATAATTGTGAAGGAGAAAGTACCCTAAAATCAAAACACAGATGGCATATTTGGTTTGAGCCTCTTATTTTGGGGGGAGTCAAAGTGCTTCACTCCCCTCCCCTAACTTTGCCTTCATTTTCCATCCCTCCAGATTGGGGCTTTTAACAGGGGCAGATAATTCAAACTACACCCCAAACTAAACCAGATAAGGTTACACACACACACACACATTCACCTCCCCCCCCCCCCCCACAGTAGTCAAGCACAAGATTCTGCGCAAGATCGTGCTGAGAAATAAAGATCGTAAATTATGAGATCGTGACACAGATCGTAAGATACTACAATATACTACATATATAACAATTTTTATTGTTGATGTATACATGAAAAAAATACATATATATTTATGCATATATACCATGGGTCATCCGGAAACAGTCTCTATGTGCTTTAGTACAGGGGTAAGGATGCGTACATCAGACCTCCCCCTACCTCACTGTAGGTGGGGGCCTTTGCGCCACGGGTAAATTTTAATGATGATGATATATTCATGCATATATATATTGGCAGAAGAAGATGGCAGATAATATATTTGAAACAAAACAACATATATGACTGGCTTGCAGACTGTAATTTGCATATTAGTAGAAGGGTGGGTTTCTAGTCTTCTAGATATGTTCACAACAGAGGGCAGAAGATTTGTCCGATGCTGATGGGAGATGATAAAGAAAATGTTACTCCGTATTAAATACGGAGTAATAAAAATAAAAATACGATGGCTGAAGACTGAAGTTGAAGAGCCATATAATGCAAAAAAAAACTTCAAAATTTCAGCATGTTTCCTAAATTTTCTTGTTTTTCTTTTTCATCTGTTTCCTTAGTCCTCACTTTTCTTTTTTCCACCACTCTCGACTATCCCTCCCTACATTCATTTTTTCCATTTCTTTCCCTAAAATGGATCTCTATCAGCTACACTTCTACCGATTTTACGATTCTAAGCAGCGAGTTCACCTATCTTTATCTTTTTCCGATTCTATAAACGTGGGGCAATCATCAAAAGGTGAGTTGTGAAACCGTCCGATAACTACTAGTTGGATCGCGATTTTGACGGCCATGATTTCCCCTTCACACCCTCTCCCATCCACTGAATCAAACACAATCTCATACAAAGAGAATTTAAACGATTTAAAGAACATACAAACTTACGAAAGAGAGTAATCCAGACTTTATATGATACTCCCTCCGTCCCAAAATTATTGTCCCATTTGGTTTTTCACACAGATTAAGAAAATGGCACTGTAGTGATACTGTTTGGCACTTTAGCGACACTGTTTTGCACTGTTTGACACTGTTTGTTATAGATTTATTTACCAAATAAGGAAGTTTTAGAAACGGGACAATTATTTCGGGACGGACCGAAAAGGAAAGCGGGGCAATAATTTTGGGATGGAGGGAGTAGAAATAACTCAGGAAAAATAAATGTGGTGGCACCATCACAGATTCATAGAAAACAATAATGAAAACTATATTTGAATATGTATATATTGTGTTAACACACTTAAAACATAGGGATGTTTTACCACTATGTCCCACCACATATAGTTGTGTTATCACCATAGAATGATAACAATGGACTGATATGATTTTACTTAACTAAACTTATTTCACTATTATGTCTTTGATGTTCGGCCAGGTATCTAGATTTGTTCCTGTTTGTCAAACTTCAATGATTATAACCTCAAGTTGACAAATGCCAATGGAGAGTGGATTAAAAATGTTGTGGCTCACTGTATAAGCACTCCAAATACACCAAATTTGCAAAATACAATTATTTGTAGATTATAGATAGGATCCATTCGATTATGATAACCAAATATCACTTTTCCTATAAAAATAGGCATTTGGTAACAGCAAATAATGTAGACTACATCATATGTCATTACCAAATGCCTAACACATAAAAGACTAGTACTCTGTAGAACATAAATCCATCCTGAAGTAGTGAAGTGCAATCCTCATACTGAGTGGCTCAGGTATGAGAGAAAAGGATAACAAAAGGTTTTAAAAGTGTGACTGCTTTGCAGCAAAGATGTCTAATAATGAGATGTATGCTTGAGTTTCTTGAGATAGCTGTCAGCTACTCCCTCCGTCCCGGTCATTTCTTCCAACTTTCCTTTTTGGACCGTCCCAATTAATTCTTCCAACTTCCACTTTTGAAAAAAATATGTGGTTCAAATTCATTCACCTTTTTCTTACACAACTACAGCCATACATTTTAACTTTATTCCCACTACCTAAATTTGTGATACCGGTCAAAACCGAAAGAAATGACCGGGACGGAGGGAGTATTAAATAAACTTTTACTTATATCATCTTTAAACTCGGGAAAGAGAGTGATGAGCAGCTATTCAGAAAACTTTTAAAAGAGCATCACAATTGCTTTTGAAAGTTAACTATTTCCTTAATATCAGCAAATAACCAAGTTCACTGGAAATTATTAATTCTTTAAACACACTTCTGAATGTCCGCATTGGCACATTTGTGAGTTCTCGTGTTAAAATATTACCACATATTACTCTCCTGCTATCAGGGTTTTTTATAAAATCTCCTCAAGTTGAACTGACTGTAACTGTAATGTAAAATGTAGGAACTACTTTTAAATGAGCATAGCAAGTAAACATTCATTAAAGACGAACAAATGTCACTTTGTTAACAGATCAGCTTTTTGGAAATTTACCCACAACACCGATAGAGCTTGTAAAGCAGAAACCTTTGACATCAATTGTAAAGCAGATAGGCACTAAAAGTAAGCAAAAGCCAAGTTTGAAGCCTCCATATGAACCAAACAACTAAATGTGCATTTACCAAGCAAACATCATATAACTAAAACGATGCACAAAAGAAAACATTCAACCCACGGTCACAAAACGAAGGAAAATCGAGCAGCTTAAATGCCCTGTGGATAAATGTTCAAAAATTACAAAGAAGAAGAGTAACGTAGCACAAATGAGCTAAAACCAAATGAAAAAACAAAGCAGAACATCCCAGATAAAATGAAACTACAGAGCAGTGTAAATGAGAAGTAGTCAATACCACACTGAGCATAAAAGCAACAGATCTTTGAGAAACCAGTAGAGCCTCAGCCACCATTGCTTCCAATACAGACCTCACAACAGTTCCTTTCAGGTCAGACACTTCATAGCTCAAACCGCTCACCTCCATGTCTTGAAATTTTCAGAAATAATTTGCACAAATTACCAAAGGAATGAAGGTAGAAATAGGAGATGAGGAGGAAATAGGTTAGAGAGAGAGTGGGGGAGAGAGAAACAGCGATGACGACAGGCGCAGAGGCAAAGCGGGTTAGGGTTTGCTTTGGGTGCCTAAAATATCAAATTATAAAGGGAAATTTTGACTTTATGCCTCTTTTTTATATCATCAATTTAAAATTTTGTGAGCCCATGGTACGAATTAATTTTTACCCGCATGTATTACTTTTAGAAATTTAAAATTAGGGAATAAAGTCCAAATTTGCCTAAATATGATATGAAAAGACAAATATCTGCAATTATAAATAGATAAATAAACTAAGAAAATGGAGGTTTAGTTTTTAGGCCTGCGGTCTTGTGTTTCGGTTCTCTATTTTTTTTAATATAAATGAACGGTTTTACATTAAAATCCATAAATTATACCAAATAATATTCAAACATTTATGACAGATTCGATTGTGAGCTCTGTGAGTAGATATAGAATCACTCATGTTGGGATATTGGGCCGCAGACCCAAATACCCGGATCAAAGGCTCAAGATATCCAGTCCGTTAAATGGGTCCATCATCCAGGAAATGAATCAGCTCTTGGGAAAATATGTACCGAACGAGGTTCGGATCAATTAACATACTTGGGCCAGATCATTAATGGGCCAGATCAATAATGACTCCAGATCAATGTACCGAACGGGGTTCGGATCAACCAGTGTACTTGGGCGAGATCAACGAAGATTCCAGCAAGGTCCATTGCCCGTTCGGGCAGCGGGTAGCCAACAAGTGACGGGGAGCATTTATTGCTAAAGTATGTCGGCAGCTAGTGGGAGCATGGGTTCCAAGCGGCTAGATAAACCAACCAATCAACATGAAGTACCTCATACCCCCATTAGTATAAATAGAAGGATTCGTTTCATTTTAAAGGGTTAGCATTTTGATACTCAAGCCTAGAATAGCATGATCTCTCTGATTTCTTGTATTAGTTACCAATCTGACATACCGTTCGGGTAGTTTACCGTGTAATAGTCAAATTACTTAATACAAGTAGACTTTTGAGTAATCGTTGATCTCATCTTTTATACGATAGTATTTCTCTTATACATTGAATTATCGTTCCATTTCCTGATATATCCAAAGTTTGTGTTGGACTTTCGGATCTACGAGATTAAACCTCAACAATTCACATTATACAAAGCAACTTAATTCGCTAGATACCAAAGTGGTAATTTAAAGTCTAAAACAATCAGGAATAAAATATTGTCTATTAAACAAACACCGGAAATCCAAATGTCCAAAACAAACCTACTCAAACTAAAATAAAAACAAGTACTACTAATGGAAACATAAAATTCAAAAAAAAAATCTTTCCACAAAACTCTTCATTGCACGGGTGTGGTTCTATAGGAGGACGAGATCTACCAATTTCTACGCACTCTAAAAGAATGCACACAGAAACCTTTGATTAGCCGAAACTAACCGGGACACCAACAGAACTCCTCACATCAATAGAGACAAAACACCCCAGAGCACCAATGCCCGGGAAAGAACCGTCATAGAATAAAATCAACACAAACATAAGAGAAGAAGAATTCAATTGGATCATACCTCTATCAAGAATCTCTAAGTGTTGATATTACCATCAGAAGTTTGGACCACTGCATCATTGTTGTTGGAGAAGAGTAAGGCCATTGACGACGAATTCCGCCTCCTTTACCGGGAACGATCGGGACGGATTGGAAGACGGTGCCTTTCTACTTCTCACCGCCAGGGTTCTCTTGCTTCTGCTTAGTACGTGAATTTTTTGTTCTCTGTTATTTCATAATTAATAACATTTTTTATATTTTAATAGATCTCACTTTTTTATAAATCAAACACCGTTATACTATGTAATAGATTTAAGAAATACCGGTCCAAGCAAAAGTTGATGATTAGTCCATGATGTTTTTATATTTTAATAAATGCCACAAATCTTTTTGACAAACCAATTATACTACAGAATTAATCACTTTTTTATAAACCAAAACACCGTTATACTTGTTTCGATTCTCCGTTATGTTGATTATGGTAAATCAAACACCGTTATACTATGTAATAGATTTAAGAAATACCGGTCCAAGCAAAAGTTGATGATTAGACCACGATGTTTTTATATTTTAATAAATGCCACAATTTTTTTTGACAAAACAATTATACTACACAATTAATCACTTTTTTATAAACCAAACACCGTTATACTTGTTTCGATTCTCCGTTATGTTGATTATTATGGTAAATCAAACACCGTTATACTACACAATAGATTTAAGGAATATCAGTCCAAGCAAAAGTTGATAATTAGATATAGACTTGTATCACACAAAGGGGTTGTAATAACGGTTTCACCATGTAACATGTATACATGTGAGTTCCCATCCTTCTAACATCTCTCCATTCTCCTAACATCCGTAATCTCTACCAAATTCAATTTTAAACGAACCAAAAAAATATAGTATATGCTCATAAGTGAAATTGAAAAAAATACATCATGAGCAGAAATAAGGTAGAAATTATACATCAACTCTCATTTGGTTCTACGTGATGAATATATTTTCGCCGACTGTCTGAACAACACTTGATTTATTTCAGTATGCAAAAATTAACCTAATAAAAAAGCACCATTTCAATGAAGAGGTGGTTTGAAAGGGGTGTAGGAAATTGTTACTAACACAAATGTGCCCGAAAAAAGGATGATCTTTGAGAAAAACATATCTACGAATGAAGATTTGCCTTCGATGTCAACTGAATAAAAGCATTAAAGCATAATGACGAGCATTTTGTCGTAGTGCGTCAAAATAAATTCAATACAAACACTTATACAAACACTTATACGTAGTGCGTCACATGGAAAGATTTAATCCAAAGGGAGTTTTGGGGTTGAATGATTTAATTTAACTAAAAACTAAAATGAACAACTTATATGAGATTTAATTCAAAGATAAAAAGAACTTGGTTTTGCTACTTTCGATTTAATTCATCGAGGGTAGTTATTAACAACGACCGTTCATTAATAACCCTTACTATTAATCAAATATAAAACAACGCCTTATACCGATTTAATAGTAGCATTTAATCTTTCTAACTCCTTGATGAAATCAATTGAGATTGATAACCTCAACACAATGGTTTCAGTTTAACCAACAAAATTAATCCCTCTTAAGTTTATTAATCACGACCATGCATTAATAAACCGAAGTTACTTACTACCTCCGTCCCAAATTGATTTGCAAATTTGACTTTTCTTGGTCAAACAGTTTCATTTTATTCGCTTAATTAGGATATCAATTTTTAATTATATTCTAATTTGGAGTTTACAACTTTGAAAATATTTTAATGTAGTTTTTGAATATATAAATTTTAATTATTAAAACTTAAATTAATTATCGATACGGAGCATTGACTTTTATTATTGGTTGACCAAAAAACGTTGACACTAGTAAAAATTTGTTAAATTGTGTCACGTCATTTGAGGCGCTTAAGAAACAAGCGCCTTTAAAATATACGACGTGCGGCGCTTTTCTCTCTAAACGCCTCTAATATGTATTTAATTTTTTAATTATTTAATGTTTCGGGTCTTTGCGGCGCTTATTTATAAAAGCGCCGCAGACCGACGCCAAATTTTTATTCAAAAATAAACTAATTTTTTTAAAAATCGGATTTTTAAAAGATGCGTGTGGCGCCTATATGCAAAAAGCGCCGCATGTATGTTCCGATTTCTTAGGCGGCGCTTATATTTAAAAAGTGCCGCAGAAAATAAACTAATTTTTTAAAAAAATCGGATTTTTAAAAGTGTCGTGCGGCGCCTTTTTAAAAAAGCGCCGCAGAAAATAAACTAATTTTTTAAAAAATTCAATTTTTTAAAAGGGGCGTGCGGCGCCTTTTAAAAAATGCGCCGCAGAAAATAAACTAATTTTTTAAAAAATTCGGATTTTTAAAAGGGGCGTGCGGCGCCTTTTTAAAAAAGCGCCGCATAAACTGGAACAGTTTATGCAGCCATAGCCGGCCGTTCGCAGCAGAGATCGAAGTCGATTCAGTTGGGCAGCAGAGAACCCTAAGGCCGGCCGCGCCGTCGTCGCACCTAGTCCGTGACCCCAGCCGTCGCACCTCCGCCCCTCCTCCGCTCAACCTCCGCCGCTCCTCCGCTCACCTTCGTTGCCATCGAATCCGTCGAGGGACGTCGTCCGTCCGCCGCTCACCTTCGCGCCGTTGCCGTCGAAGCCGTCGAGGGTCGACCGCCGCTCACTCCAGCCGCGCGCACCCTCGTGACCCAGCCGTCGCACCTCCGCCGCTCCTCCGCTCAACCTCCGCCATGATGGACAAACAGAAGATGGACACAAAGATTTGAAATATGTAGCAATGGCTTTGGCTTATAATACAGCCCCGGGGGCCATGATACATAATATTCCGATGTCTGCTAATACCATTAAAGTTAACATATCTATGATTTATACAGGTTTTGTGAAATGTCATCCTTTGTTTCCATATATAGTGTTCACAGATTTTGTGAGATGCAAATCTTTAAATGTTATTATTATTTAAGTTTGTTTTTTGTTTCAATGGTTTTTACAGGTTTTGAGCAATGTCCTCTTTTAGTTCCAAATGAAAATGCTGATATATATGTGTTGACAGACGCTATAGGATCATTTGTTGAGTAGCCTAGTCATTTAGTTTTTTTTGAAGGAGAGGTGAATAAATAACTCTTTGCAATTATCAAACAATACAAAATTACTCTATGTTACTGTCATTCTGACCATTTTTTAGGATCAGGTAAAGTCAAAGCGGAAAGATGTGATTCAAAAGAATAAAGATTTTATTCCGAGAGAGTCTCCTCGGGTTGTGGTTCCTCCTAGCACATACCCATTGGTTAGTGATACTATTTTGCGGTCACTAACCGAAGATTTATTGGAGCTACATGAGATGCTAGAGTGGTATGAGCCAGATGTGTGTAAATTCTCTATTGCTTTACCTGTTGATGCTTTTCACTATCCGCAAAACAGTGAATTTGGGACTATCATCGATCGTAAAGACTTGGCTGAACTACTCGAGGGTGATGATGTGGATATGTGCATCATTCAATCCTTTGCATTGTAAG